ACTCATTCCCAAATGATACGAAATAATTAGATCGTTAAAAACAATCTTTTGTTTGATTTTTATAATATTTCTTTTTGATTTACTTTTTATACTTATTGTATCAAGAAACTATTAATTGAAATAGTTGATATTTGTTGTAACAACATTGTTCGATCTAGTCACGTGATGTGTTATAGAGTGTTGCAAATGCTCGTTGACAAAATATTAATCAGAGTCAAAAAAAAAAAAAAAAAAATCAAATATCCTTTTTCTAGATTAATCAAGGGATTAAATTGAACAGAACAGGCGAGATATGAGAAATGTCGAGTGCAATTACTCGCGAAGTACCAACAGGTAAGTGAGCAATAATGCTAAATGTTCGGGAGCGTAAAACGCATGGCGCGCCGGAAATTATTAAAGCTTCATGTGTGGCTTGCAAGTAGAAATAGAGAATGTGAAGCGGCACTCACACCCTTCCTTTGTTGTCTGCGTGCATCTCCTCCCATTGTTATTCCGTGCCGTAATTAATGATCGATGCCGCGATAAGACATAAAAGTCGCCCTTGCACGGGAAAAGTACGCAGACTGCGGCGCATTGTTCGCTACCCTGTATTTACGTAATCTCTCCTCGTGTGCTCTCCTCGAACAATTTAATAATCGTGTTTTCCGCGTAAAAATGCAATCACGTCGAGAGAGGAGGGAAGGGGCGGCAATTGAATTTTATTATTAATAAAACCGCGTGACCTCTTTTTCCCAAAAGATACCTCACACACAATATAAAAAAAACCGCAACTAAAATAATTATTAGTCTCAAATTAAGTATAGCAAATTATTTCGACGTGAATTTTAAAAATGTTTCCCACGTCGCGAAGAACGTCGGTCATCTCTTGAGATTTTACACAAGACCACGTATCTGCATATCTAATACATATATCGTCAGGGCGTACGACGACGGGTTGCTCCCGTATAATGCCGATCTCTCTCTCTCTCTCTCTCTCTCTCTCTCTCTCGTGGCACTTAGCCACTTATGGATCATGACCATAATCATAATCGTCGTTATTAACATAACCATAACCCCGACCTTCGGTCTGCGACGCACGTATTCAATTTATAATTAACGTTCTTCGATAAACGCCTTCCTTTCCGCCGTAACTGTCGACCCACAGGGCGAAACTACAAACATGCGCGGAGCGGTGCGTCCGCCGTCTCTAATCATGGTTGATTCCACAATTAAGCTTGTAGATTTTTCGATCTTACCCGCTACCTCGTCTACGTAATTAAGTACGGTTTCACGTGAAAGAACGTGATTGAAAGTGTCGAGAGTAATTGAAAAAGCGAATTAAGCTGAAGACTTAATTTCCTGAAATAATAATGAAAATAATTCCAATGTCAAAAATTACATTCGTTCGTTTAAGTTCGTGCGAGTGCGCGCGCGCGCGCGCGTTCGTGGATGTGCGCATCTCATTGCTTTTAATAACATTTATAGCACGTGTTGGGTATACCCTAAGCCTATTTTCGTGCGAGATGTTCCATCTCGCGCGCTACATAAACGCGCGCTTTAATAAATATTAATATTAAAATAATGGCCGCGCGAGTTACGACGAAACGTCATTTTCCGCGATTCTCAACTTCAACCGCAATATGTATCTGCTCGTAAAACGTGTTAACATCGCGCATAAATTCCCCCGCGATCCTCCAACAGGCTGTGGTTAAGTATTTTGCGCGCGTTTCGCGCGTAAAATCAGCACGATTCGCTCGTTATCATAGATATTCATCATAATATGAGCCTACCACCCTCCTCTAAGTATCCTAATCCTCCTAGATTGTATACTTTATATTCTCTACGTGTTGTAAAGACAGCCGTGTGTGCGCACGGTAGCGTTACACGCGCGCAACTTTGTTCCTGCAAAATTTATTAGATGAAGCATCGACGATGCTTTCGCAGCGTTATCGGCGCATCATCGTTACCATAAGACCTTTCCACGCATCCTTTGCATAAGTTGATCAGCATATATATTCACGCTCGATTATCACATTAGTGAAGATATGCACGCGCGCACCGATTAAAAAAAAAAAAAAA